ATCCAGGAGTCGGAAATCCTTACCTATTCTGGGACCTGGTAGACATTCCTCTTCTCTGGCTCAGCAGGTTGTCACCAATCAAGCAAGATTTGACCGGTAGTGACTCTGCCGCAAACCCACTGAGAATACCAGAGTGCGGTGCAGGGTGTTGTAACGGAAGGAGAGCAGAACCAAGGCTCTAGGAAGCCTGCCTGCTGAACCTGGGGGCACAGCCAGTCACAAGTGGCTTTCATAAATGACAGGAATGCAGTCATTTCCCTCATGGTTTCTACCGTCTGTACCAGCACAGTGCCTCCTACCAAGCAATATGCTCTTGAAGACAGTATTGTCAGAAACAAGCAGATGCACGAGCGTGTGCATGCATACACATATACACACTCACATACACACACATATGCACATACACACGCATGCACACACATACACATGCACACACATACACATGCACACACATACACATATGCACATACACATGCATGCACACACATACACACATGCACACACATACACATATGCACACGCACACACACACACACAGACACACACACATGCACATGCTTCCTCTCCATCATGAGGACAGCTGGATTGACCATGGGCTTCCTCCTATGATGCCTTGCCTTGACATAGGCCCAAAACATGGACTGAAATCTGTGCACCAAAATATACCTCTTATTGGACTTGGGTATTTGTTACAGAAGCAGAAAGCAGACTAATACAACGACTAAAGAAAGCAAAAGTGAGGCAGTGGATAAAAAGTGTTGGGAGGGAACTTACAATTTTACATAGAGACCAGAGAATACCTCACCTAGAGGGTGGTGTTTGAATAGAACCTGTAATAATTCAGGGACTGAGCCACATGACTATTATGGGGCATTCACCCAGGCAGTTAAACAACCTTGAGACAGGATGTGCTTTTCCAGGTTTGAGGGATAAAGAGCCAGTGAGGCTAGACTGAAGTAACAGAGATCAGAAAGATGATGTGCACAAGGTGGTGGGATCTACATTTGTCAAGCAGTGCCCCTCAAATGGAGAAAGTCCCGTGCTTGTCGCTCAGTCCTAGGACTAATCCGTCACTCAAACTTGTGTCTGTGAGCCGTTAAGGAGTAAAGGGGTCAGAGAGAAGTCAGGAAGGTATCTGAGATGGGTGACCCCTTCCCATGAACACAACATCAGAAATGGAGAGAATGTGCCACTGAAAGATAGCCGAGGGTGTTCTACATGTGTCAAGCATGTCATGGCTGCTAACGGTGGAGGTTAAGTACAAAATAAAACCACCCAGGGAAACGGAAGAGGGGAAAATGATACACATGCCACTGGGTCCTAACAACCGAGCAAGTGTTTGTTTCAAAGATTCAAGATATTGCAAGGGGTGGCTTGCCTGTACAAGAGGAGTGGGTTGTATATGTAGCGCATCATGGGAGCTCAGTGTAACATGCACAGGAAAGTGACAGCTCTCTAGAGACGCTCCTCTCACTGAGGGGTGTGAGCCTTGGTAGACAGACAATGAGGACATAGCAACTTGTGAGTCAAGAGTCGTCAGATTGAGTTCCCAGAGAGGTCACTGTGAATTAGAACCATCATCTTCCATATGTGATTTGTAGACCAGAGGCACCATCACCCTCAGGAAATCAGAGACGCATAAAATCCCAGGCTCTGTGCCAGTGCCACCTAATCAAAAACTGGGAGTACAGCCCAGCCCCTCCAGGTGACGCTGGCTCTGGCCGAAGCTCTAGGACAGAATGTGAAGTGGCCGCTGTGGGTCAGAATGAAAAGGGAGCGGAGGAAAGTGGAAAAGGAATCTGCAATCTGCCCATGCAGAAGTGGATGGGAACATCCTGAGCAAATGCCATCAACCGACACTCTGTGCTCTTTTGGGTGAGTTCACCCAAAACAAAGATAAAAGGGAAAAATAGGCCATTCTAAAATGAGGAAATAAATGCTTGTGAACGATAAAAAATTGGAACTTTTCAAAATGGTCTTTGGTTTGATGAATTTAAATCAAAAAGATTTAATCTAACCTTCAGAGTGAAAAGTCATGTGGAATTCCCCTCTCGGGAACATTGGAATTTTGCTCACCCAGTGACTGGACAGGGAATAAGTGGGTACTTCAACTAAATGACCAGAAGTGGCCAAAGAAGAGGTTCTTGCCAAACAGGAAACTTGGCATCTGCTTGCAGAACACTTTTCCAAGTTAGGTAGTTGGGTATAACCACAGTCATCTTTTGTACCTAAACCTTTCTTTAGCTTGACTGACTACTTAACTTTATATCCCACGAATTATAGCTCTGAGATAAAAATCTTAACTTTAAAACCCTTTTCAAGAAGATGACAATTTGCAGATTGGGTGTTTCTGATGCTAGCCTGACATCCTGCTGTTACCAACAATTATTCTCACTAATTTTTAAATTTCACCAACTAAAAATTGAAGTTGATACAGAAAAGTTGGTCCTTTTTTTGTTGTTCATTTATGTTTTATTGGTATGTAAGAACAAACCTTTTACATACTAGACAAGGGCTCTTCCAGTGAATCCTGTCTCTAGTCCACTTCATTTTGTGCCCTTTCATATTAGTGAACTTCACATTACTACAATGAAATACCTAAGTCAACTAATCTTTAAAAAAAGGAAAGGTTGGTTGAGCTCACAGACCTCAGAGCTCACGGCACAGCTGAAGTGGCCCTGTGCAGGATCCTGCCTCTGATGAAGCTAGCTCATCATGACTGGAACACAGGAGAAGCAAGTGATCAGAGACTGAGGAGAGATGATGGGTGGCATTCAACAATCACCTTTGAGGGCACTGCTGCCTATGACCTGAAGACCTGCTCTAGATTCCACTTCCAAGGGACTCAAGTCTCTCCTGGGTGTGCCACCCCATGGACCAAGCTTCAATCATGGCTGTTTGAGGTACAGTCAGCCAACATGTAAACCATAGCATTTCTGCCTTTGAGTATGTTAATTAATTGAAATATGAAATGGTCCTCAATGACAAAATTGTACAAGTTCATCTGCTTTCAGTTTGATGATTTATATCCAGCATTTAGTTTGAAAGTGTCCTTTATGCAGTGAATAGGGTAAAAATAGCTTTGCATAAAGGTAGGTAACATTTGTTATATTCTGTCAGACAACCAAGGACAGACAACCACAAAGATTTTTTTTATGGAAATTTTAATCAGTTAATTGAAAAAATTAGATTTGTAACCATATTTTATGTAGAAATATTCAACTTCCCCCAGAATTTCACAAACAATGGTACAAAAGTTAACTCTAAATGCATTTTTAAGTAACTAAATGGTCATACACTCGGTTGATTCGCGCTATGATGGAAGCCTAGGGCCTTGCGCATGCTCAGTAAGAGCTTTCCCACTGAACCACAACTGCTTCTCAGTTTACTCTTTGTCAAGCTCTATGGCAAGACTCAGAATTTCCTGTAGGAATCAATTCAGGATTGTTCACTCTGCCTCAACCTCCACTCTGACCCGTGAGTCTACATCATATGCTCACTTAATGAAACAAATTGCATTCCCCGTGCTTGTCATCAATAAAATGAAATTAGGAGATCTTAACAGTCATGTATTTCATTTCATCCTAATGTGTGGCTGGATTAGAAACCATGTCGAGGAGCTGAACTGGCCTAAGACTGGACTAAGTACCCCCATTGTGAAAATGTCTTAACATTACTCAGCATCACAATGTTCCGCAAGCTAATGGTATTTTTCAGACAGAAACATTAGGTTGTTGACATCTAAAAAGCATCAGCACTAGAGTTCGTGGTTTCCCAAACTACACACACTATTAGTATCTTCAGCAGACTGGGTTTTTTGGTTGGGAAGGAAAGCTGCCAGATCCCACGGGACTTTAAGCAGTGTTCCCCCATTTAACTCCCTATGTGACCGCCATTCTCCCCTCATTGTGACCTCTTAAATTCCTCAACATGTCCCCAGAGGTGCACAATGGCCTATGCTGGTTACTATTAATCTCAAGAGAGAGAAAGAAAAAAAAAAGGACCGTGCAAACAATTCATCGTATTGGTAAACACGGATCTTGCTGTTTGACATCTTACCTCTAGGGTTTTCATCTCTATATAGAATGAACAGGACTGAGCTATGTCTTCATTTAAAGTTTATATTCTTTCCATTGGAATCATCCCACTGATCCTCAAATGTGTCTTATTCCTGTGGCACACATATTTTTAGAGAAGGTTTTTTCTCTACATCATGATAGTGCAGATTCTTCTTAAGTTCAAAAAAGAAAATAAACTAGCAAACTGCTTTTGCCTCAAATTATTTGAATTGATGAAGTCCTATTCTGTCAAAGCTCTACTCCTTCACTCACACTATTTCTGTGAGGTACAAAGTCTAATGCTTATACCATCCTTAAATGGAATTGAGGGCAAATACAAACATGTATTTGTCAACACCAAAAGATACTGACAGACAATTTGCATGGTTTTTTTTTCTTCCTTTAAAGTGTCTATGATTCAATAAAACTTAGAGAAGATGATTTACATTATATTATAATATTCTGACATCTCACCTGTATTTGATTTGCCTCAAATTTTAAAAGTATTTAAAAGCGCTAGTTAGGTAATAACAACCTCATTTTACTTTAAGACTTCCATCCCGCACTCCTGTGTGTTTGCAAAAGTAAACCATGGTATTTCCAAATGTCACAAAGATCTGCTTTGTTTTACAGGAAGTTGACAAAATCGTCTGGAATATCATTTCTCAAGAAGAACACATTGCACAATCTCTGGGCAATCAAATCAAAGAAAAATTATTCAAGGAACCTGAGTCTCATTGCCAAACCTGAACACACATTCATTCAGAATCATTTGATAAATAACTGTTCTTCAAATCATAGTTATAAAAGTCTACATATAAGATTATATGACCCTGCTCATTAGAATACTGCAAGAGTCACAAAACTTGATTTTTGTTTACAAATATGGTGATCAAAATATATTTATATACATAAGAAATACACGAATACATGGTTGATTTAAATAGTATATAAATCTCTTCGCTTCAGATAAATGCTAATATTTTTTAATATTTTAGTTTTCAATCTCAGTGAACAACCTTTAAATGTACAAAGCATGGCTGTCTAAATATGACAGACCAAGAAGTATGTATAAAATTATAAATTATTTTTAAAATGTCAATATTTCTCTTTTAAAAATGTGAAAACGTTCTTAATCTTTTAAACAATATCTAATGTGGTATTATAGAAAAATAAGTTATTGATGAAATTCCATAATGCAAGTTATAGCTATGAACACAGCCAAATAAATGGCTGAGAACTTTGAGACTACTGCTTGAAATCTTAGAAGATAGAACAAAACATGTATGTAATAAGTCTGGAACAGGTGAAAAGAAAAGTAGTATTTACCTATGAAATTTAGCTCTTTAAATATATGAATTAGTAGTTCAACTTGACAGCACTAAAAACAATTATCTGACCCCATGGGACTTTACCATTTTTAAATATACGATGTTCTTGAGTCACCAAATCTTTATGAAGTATTCATTAGTCAGTATCAGGTGAGTGGGCATATATAATTTATAGCTGGGACCTGGTGGGTGAGGGACAGAGGTGACATGATTCATATTGTTGTCTCAAGACATATATAAGCCCAGGAAACTGAAACAGTTAAGCCTGGACAATGTGCCCAACAAAAGCAAGATTGTTGGGACAAAAACTAAGAATGATGACAAGAACTATAGGCTATAGTCTGTAGTCTACAGCCAGTGGTCTATAGTCTATAGTCAACAGTCTATAGTCTATGACCGGCAATGTAATTGGCCAATAGCCGGGGATCTCAGGGGGAATTAAACAGGCACAAGAATGTATTAACGATTATCTTGATCCTTGCGTCCCTATTGTGTCCTAGGCAGGATCCTTTTGGTTACTCCATTCCAGAGGCAGAATCAGTAGCAAAGTTACACCATGGGCTGATCCAGAAGTAAAGATCACAGACATGCTCTATTCCTCCTCATTTCACTGCTGCCTAGAAACAGAATATGTAGGGGAGGCAAGAAAGAAATCTTTCCAGGATTTATGATTCTAGTTAAATACCCCAGAATTTATATACTAATACCAAAGGCACGGAAAATATTTTCAATAATGTCCAAGTGTAAGAATATGCCTTTGATCAAGTATCATATGTGTATGTCTGTATTTGTCTTTCAGACATGCATGTGGTCATAACATTCACAACTGTAACTCTACTGAAATATACTGATGTTGAAACTCTTAAGTCTAGTGTAGCATCAATAAATTAGTGTAGAAAGTAAACCAAGTTGAGACTTAGCTTTAACAAAAACAAATCTTCCAAAACACCTATGATAAGGGTTTGAAAAAATGATCTCATCCAATTATCCTAAAACATATTTAAAAAAAAAGACAGGCATGGCATGGTGGTCTCTAGCTCTGGGTTGCTTCACAAGCGCGTCCCGTTCATCTTGCCACTGCGATCTGTGGAGTTTGGCTCAATGTGGTTGAAGGCGGGGTTATCAGTTCCACCATCTTCCAGAGGATGCAATTTATAGCTTAAAACATGATTCTTCTGAAAATAAAAAGTTACATGAAAATTTTTTTTAAAAAAAAGAAACTTCATTTGTTCAATGACAGAGAATTGTTACTACATTTTCATTTCTCTAAATCTACTGACAGCGAGTGATAGCCAAGCAATATAAACCAGCGGAAGATAGAATGGCGTACATTAGACACTTTGGCTATGAATATCCATATATTCTCTCAAATAGTGCTTATCTAGTAACTGTACACCTGCAGATATAGATATAAAAATATCCCTTCTGTGTGCCTGTTCAAGAAAAGGACTGGGGACTGACTAGTGTTCTATTCTGGGGATTAAAAACCCAATTTTCCCTCATTTAAGATAACCAAACCTAACTTACTTTCTTAAAAGCATCAAAATTGGATAAAAAGTCCTGTTTGGTTAGTAAGAATCGAGGGTCTAAATTCTGTTTTCTTCCTCCTGAAAAACAAATACATTAGTTACATTGTTATACAGATCTCCCATTACATAGGCTTTTGGCTTATGAGCATTCAGCTTTATACACACATAAAATGCAAACAAAAACAAAAAAAAAAAACACCAAAAAACTTTAAAGTAGTCCTGATCCAGACACTACTCCCTGTCCCTAGATCTCAGATCCTATAAGTGCCTAGCTGATAAATATGAATTTTGTGATATCTACATAGATAAATAGATGCAGAGAGATAATAGCTCTCAATCCTAACCCAACTGTTTCATCTGATGCTGCCTGGATTAAAGAGTTGACTATCCCAATAGTGACAGGAAAAGCTATCCACATGACCTGCCCATAAAGTGGTAAACTGCCTGCCCCTCCACCTCTGGCCCCTGTCCCTCTGCCCATTTGCCTGTCTCTGTTTCCCCACCCCCTACCCCTGCTCCTGCCCCTCTGCCTATCTCTGACCCTCTGACCCTCTGACCCTTGCCCTTTGTCTTTGTCCCTCTGTCCGTCTACCCCATGCCCATCTGCCTCTGCCAGTGAACCTGCTTTCCCTGACTTTTGTAACTATGAATGTGAGTGGAGAAATGATGACCTGTCAAATGAGTTCAGCAACCTCATGCTCACTGGTGTTTTTTACAAATTCTCTTCTCTAAGGTTTTGTTTTAGAAACTAATCCTTTGATTTGGCCTTGCTCGTTTTCTGTCTGTCTGTCTCTCTTTCATTTTCTTTTCATTTTTTTTTTCTTGGTGGACCAACTAAGATGCTCTTGAGAACCATGTGTGTGGTCCTCAAACCACCACTATCTAAATCTTTGAGAGATGTGCTTAGAACAGAGATCCCTGCACTTCAGCTTGGACTGACCAAATTGGAAGTGGGGGGCCACTGAGCTCTTGATTTTGCTCAATTTCCAAGGTGATTTCTCTATCTGCTCAAGTGTGAGAACTGCCCCAGCACCCACCCGGTTTTCCTGACAAAAACAGACAAACACTGAGTGCAAAGAGCCAGATGGAGCTGCATGCCAATCAAGTCCGTCCGTCTGGATTCTTATAGACTTCTAGTACTCTACAGTTTGTTTTAAAGAACATCAGAAGTGTATGTTTCTGGATGTTTTTTTTCAAGGTTCTCACTGCTGCTGTGAGGGAAGAATGACTCGCTAGCAAAACCAATAAAGTAAAAAGCATTTTTTGACTAGATATCCGCTCTCCTGGACATAACTCCATGCACTTAACAAAATCAAAGAAGTTCAAAGAAAAGGAAAATGCCAGCAGGAGCCCTCTGATCCCCCAGTTTCTTTAAAAGGGAGAGAAAGCAGGAAGGGGTGATAAAAGCCAAGGATAGAAATACACAGACATAGTATAGATGTATTTCAGATATGAACAACTGGCTAATTTGTGAAAATAAATTGTACTTCTCAAAACAGATTAAGTAATAAGGCTACTAAGTGAATATTTCATGAAAAAAACGCAATCCTTTTGGAAAGTGATGCAAATGTTATCGTTACCAACCCAAAGTTGGTAAGATTGAAAGCAGTGTTACCTGGTTGCCAAAAATCAACAGTGCCAGCCAGATTCTACAGAGGCTGCGTCTACCTTTGTATCGTGCAAACCATGTGGCAACATCATGTGTTTGGACAAAGTGTGGGATAGCTGAAAAACTGATAAAGAAGGCGATGTGGCCTTCCCCGATCTGGCTGCTATGGATATACATATGAGAGGGCGCATGGTGGGGGGGGTCATGGGTTAGGATCCCAGCACTCCACCAACCCCCAGTCCCAGCCACTAGGATCTCTCACCTGGATATTTCAAGAGTCTACCTGCTCTCCTCCTACAGGCCATTCTTAAACTGGATCAAATGCTTCTTTGGGAATTGTTGGAAAAGTAATTGGGGAAATATTCATAGACTAGACCTAAAAGACAGAGATGGAAAGCAGGAAAGAAAAGACAAGAAAATTAAAGGAAACGTCCTTAGAGGCAAACGTTTGACTGGCAGAAGTTTCCAGAAGGATGAGACAGAAAATAGAAAGAAATTACAAAAGGATAGCCTAAGGAAATGCCCAGGATGGATGGGTATGAGACTTCAGAGTCAAAGGGTCATAGGGCAAGGTAGTCACTGAAAATGTGCCTTTGGAAAGGCTAGCAGGTAGCCTGGCATTGATGTTCAAAACCAGCAAAATGAGAGGAGAAATTAAGATTTTTTTGGAATGGAACTTATACTCAAATTAGCAGTTAAGCACAATAATTTTTTAGACATGTGAATTTTCCAAAACCTCTTTTCCTCTCTGTCCTTTCCAAGAACGTGCTATATAAGATGGATGCACTCAATTAAAGGGATAAACATATGGGTCGCAGGGCTGGTTCCACAGCTAAGAGTGCTGACTGCTATTGCAAAGGACCCAGATTTGGTTTCCAGCACCCACATGGTGCTCAGAAGTAAGGAAGGATATGGCACCTTCTTCTGGCTTCTGCTGGCACCAAGCAAACACACAGTGCAATTACATGTACGCAGGTAAAATACTCATACGTATAAAAATATCAACTGATTTAAAAATAAACTTAGGCACAAATGTAAGTGAGAAGGGATATAAAAACACAGGAAGGGGGTCAAGACAATGCCCACAATGAGAACAAAGTGAAATCTCAAGATAAAACCTCCATTCCAGATAAGTTTACACTCTGTGCATTGTCAACTGATTATTAAAACTTTGTTTAATCTTTATGAACACTTCCCAAGACTTTCTACTATGTTCACACATAAATATTATAGTTATTATTCATTATATGTGTATACACTTTTGAAATTTACAAAGAATCTGTATTGGACAATTGAAACATCCTGGCATAAAGATGTCAAGATATGCATACAGCTCTCTCATTGTAACAAGTAACTATGTAACTGTGTAACAAGTAACTATGTATGATTTGGTTTTATCTTATGTCTTCATCATCCTCATTTTATGCATAACAGTGCTAAGGCTCTGTGTAGAGTGGTTACGTACCTTGCCTGAATCCAGGTAACTATTAAATGGTAGAACCAATATTATAATAGTGATGGGTTAAGTTCTTCTGCCTTAAGATTAGGTTCTCAAATATTGCATGGGTAAAATTTTAAAAATTAATTTAAATCACTAATAGGATCTTAGTAAAGTGTCATAAAGAACTATAAATTATACATAGGAAATGCTTGTATTTCTAGAAGTGAACAGAAAAATGTTAATTACCTGTTGACAAACTCACAAGTATCCCCACTAACAATGTTACCAACGTTCCAATAGTACTGAAATACAGATATGATATTGAATACCAATTGTCCATCAGCGGAGTCCTGAAAGATACCAAAAATATAACTATAGTAATTCACCATGTTCCTAACAACAACAAGTGTGTGTACCCATGATCCTGAAAGTAAAAATGCAATTTTTAGCCACTTTTAATGTCATAATTAACCGGTCTGATCCCTAATTATTAAATCAGGAATGTGAAATATGGCTTCACTTGGACTATGCACATAAAAAAGGACTTTAGATATTGTAAGAGTAAGGGACTATAAATCTTTGGTGCAGAAAAATCGTAAAGCAGGAAGCAACAGTCGCCTAGGTCATTACAGGCTAACAGGGGCTGGTTTCTGTGGACCCCCTGACAATACAAGGGTAGCACACAGCCCCATCAAAATCTTCATTTATTATTTATTTATTTATAATTCTTACCTGAAATACATAAATAATGAGTAATCAAATCAACAACCTATGCTATTCCTGACCCTGTAGACCACTGACCAATGCAACTGCAACAATTTTCCACTAACTCTTACTTTCTTTGCATAATCTATTTAAATCCCTGACCCCTCAAATGCCATTTTGGGGGAACTTATTCTAAATAACTAAGTTTGTGTTATTTTTCTGAGGTGTTATCTTTGCTTTAGCACAAATAAACCCTGGTCTCACACCCAGCATGTCTCGCTTGCCTCTTAGGTTGGCAAATTGATAGAGTTTGAAAAAGTGTCCCCTTAAGGCTCATGTGTTGAGGGCTTGGTCTTTATCCCCACCTATTGCATATGGTAAACTTTTAGGAGATAAAGCCTAGTAGGAAGAAGGTAGGTCATTGCAGGAATCCCTGGAAGGGGATATATTGGGTGCCCAGCCCTCCCCCTTCTCTCTGTCCTCCAGTTCCATGACGGGAAACAATCTCCACCGCAGGCTATCACCATGATCTACTGTACCACCAAGACTCAAAAGTATGAGTGTTAGGCCATCATGGCCAGAACTCCCTGACCCAGATGTCATTTTCTTTTATCAAGTTGGTGTTTTGTAACACAAAGCTGACTGACATGCACAAAAATATTAAGTGTCAGTGTTTATTCATTCCACTCTTCATTATGGTCCCAATATGATTCTTATCATTGAAGTCAGCCATAATTAAGGTAGATAAGATTGTTGTCCACATAAAACTTATATCCAATGAAAGAGAAATACAATATGCAGTATACAGTAAGCAAATGATGGGTAGTCCTTAAGAAAGATGGAGTGATGCCATATGACATGAACTGGGTAGAGAGGGGAAGTCTACACTGCAATGTGTGATCAGAGAAGATCATTGGGAAGATATGACATCACTCAAGGATGTCACTTTCAGCTTCAATAAAGCAGCTTAATTAAGATTAATCACCCTGCTAATAACAAAATGTGGAAACAAGTTGGCATCAGAAAGCTCAAGGAAATGAGAATTTCAGAAGCAAAAAAAAAAGGAAGAAGAGAAACAGGTTGAGATGAACTAATGAAGTTGAGATAGTATGATGTTGAGCAAAGACAGAAAACAGAGAGTAGAATACTGACCACCTCCACCCGTCACAGGAAACTGCCATTTGATTTACATTAGTTTCCTCACCAGCAAATCTTGATGGACAACAAGGAATTTTTTTTTCAATAAAAGGTGCTTGATTTATTGAAATTCTACATGAGGGAAAAATTAATCTTGATCACACCATTCATGTCAGCCTCAAATGGATCACACTTTATAAATGTAAATAGTTAACAATAAAACTTTTAATTTAAAAATTAGAGAAATAGCCAGACATGGTGTGCACATCTTTAATCTCAGCATTCCGGAGGCAGAGGCCAGCCTTGTCTACAGAGAGTCCCAGGACAGCAAGGGCTACACAAAGAAACCCTGTCTTGAAAAACCAAGCAAACAAAAAAACAAATAAATAATTAAGAAGAATATGATTATGACTTCAAAGTAGGCAATGATTTCTTCAACAAGACTACAAAGAACTAATGATATAGGCAAAGATAGGTTGTGAATTCTTAAAAAAAAAAAAACTTGGCAAACAGTGAAAATTAAAACTATTGATTGAGGAAAAAATATCTTCAAAACATATTTTGAATGAAGAATATTGTAGATGTAACCAACCGTCTTATTAAATAAGAAACACAGAAACAATGTAAAAGAGAAAGCCGAGAAGTCAGAGCTCAGAGCTAAAATCTCACCCTTCCTCCTGCTGTCCCAGCTTCGCGAAAAGAGCCCTACTTCCTGTTGGTTCGTTTTTTTATAGTATGTTGTTCTGCCTTCTCATTGGTTGTAAACCCAAACACATGACTGCCTCGTCACTGTCTGAATGTACAGCCCCCTAGGTCTTAAAGGCATATGTCTCCAATGCTGACTGTATCCCTGAACACACAGAGATCTTATGGGATTAAAGGCGTGTGCCACCACCGCCACACTCTTGCTATGGCTCTAATAACTCTGACCCTGAACACACAGATATCTATGGGATTAAAGGCGTGTGCCACCACCTCCACACTCTTGCTATGGCTCTAATAGCTCTGACCCCCAGACAACTTTATTTATTAACATACAATCAAAATAATATTTCAGTACAATTAGATTACCACCACAGAATATATCACCAACTCCTAAATAAATAAGAAAGAAAAAGACAGAATCTGTTAAATATTGGAACAGTTCTCAAAAGGAAAGTGACAAAAGCAGATATCTGAATGCCCAATAAAGGTATTAAAGGTGGTCATCTTCATCAATCATAAGAGAATGAAAATTGAAATCACTAAGATATGTTCATCAACCATTAGAAAATTAAAAGAATGCAAACTCAATCTGGAAGGCTTGAAAGCCTGTCTAGGCAGGTACAGGATGTCTCACTGAGTCTTCAGCTGTCACTTGCTGTCCTTACAATGTAAAAATAACACAGCAGGAAAGCCACAGGGGTCTACCCATTTCAGAGTTAGGAAAAAGCAGTTTTATAAGAAGACAAAAAACAAAAACAAAACAACTGGAGTCCCCTACTTGTCACACATAACATCACGACATAACATGAAACTTCATACCTCTCCACATTGTGGATTTGGAAAGCGCTAGTAGAAAACGGCATTTCTGTGGTTGATATCCAGGCTGATCCATTGTGTGTGATGTTACAGCCATGGGTTTCAAGGGATAACGGTAAGGTTCTCTCGGGAAGCGGAGGATAAAGCTGAGCTCCAATTCCTACCCATAAAGAAATGGCAAATCCAGCCAACAGACCAGTGAGAGCTCCCTGAAAAACAAGAGTGCTTTTCAAAGAAAAATAATGTCATTCTCTTTGAGGTCAATTTAACATGAGAATGCCAGTTTCACAATGGTCAAAGCCCCCTATCTGACTCTCCTCCCTCCCAGTATATCTGCCTCTTACAAAGGTTGTCATAGATCTCTGGTCTCTCTGCCCAGAGTCGTAGAGACTCACTAACCTCATTCCCTCTTTACCTAACCAATTTTTATGATATAAATGTCTCACATCACTTATGTATATTCTAGATCTTCAGCTATAGAAGAAATGGACTTCCTGTTGGTTTTCAGAGAAGTCATTTGGATTCCATTTATTCCAAACACAATTTTGTATTTCCAGACACAGACATGTTTAGATATACTAGCAGAGATATCCCCTCTTTCTGAAAAATATTCCAATTCTATTCATCCCTCAGGGCTAGAATGACGAGCAGGAGCCCTGGCTTGAAGTACCAAAAGAACCAACTTTGTGGTCACAGTGGCAAAGATCAACTTCTCTTTGCTGTGCTCCGACTACATGCAGTCTTTAAATCTAAGCCTGTTGACCTCCTTCTTTACAGCCTAGACATTTGATTTTAAGAAGGGCAAGAATTTAAATGCGTAAGAGATGCTGGTCTACTTACACTATGAGTATTTAAATTGCACTGCATGGTTCTGACAGTTTCCATTTGGCTTCCTATATACAAGACCTCAATGCAGAGCTCTTCCCCGTATACTTTCTCAAAGTCAAAATGAGTAATTTCAGTCACCAAGACAAGTAACTAACGACAGGTCTCAAAGCAACCATGTCTTTACAGCTGAGAAGAAAGATAGCGTTGGAAAAGTAACCTTTAGATTTGTCCATTAGTTCTACTTACAATTGGATTGGCAAAGGGGACTAAGATGCCCAAAGAAAACAGGCCCAGAAGTGGTCCACCAACCATGCCAAATATGCTGAGTGCTGCCTACAAAAATAACACAAAATCACAATCAGTAATTTCAAACCCAAGCATAAATATTTCAGGCAATTTCATCAGGGTAGGTATTAAAGTATTCAGTCTCCTCCAGAAAAAAAAAAAAATCCTAATTTTATTCATAGTAGTCTTATCCTTGGCAAAGATCATTAACACCTGGAAACCTCTGTTTCTCTGTCTTCAGCATTTTCTGTTCTTTGGGGTTTTTGTCTGTTTGTTTGTTTGTCTGTTTGTTTGTTTTGAGACAGTGCCATCTCACCTTCTAGCCCTGGCTGTTCTAGAACTTACTATATAGACAAGGCTGGCCTTGAACTCACAGGGATCCTCCTGCTTCTACCTCCCAAGTGCTGAGATTAAAAGTATGCACCACCATAATTGGCTTGTCTGTCCCTTCAGGTACCCTCAAATAGGCAACAAAGAGCTGGAGTAGTTAAGAGTGCCTACCTTTCTTGTAGAAGACCTGAATTCAGTTCCCAGCACCTATATCAGGTAGCTCACAACTGCCTACAACTCCAGCTCAAAGGGATCAGATGCCCTTTTGTAGCCTCCATAGGCACCTACACTCGCATCTACATATTCACCCAGACACACACATATACACAACTAAAAAATATTTTTAAAGACTACCAAAGGGGCTGGGAAGACAGCTCAGTCTATAAAATGCTTCACAAGCACCTGAGTTTAATGCACAAGTAAAACCTAGATGTGGCAGTACATGCCTTTAATCCCAGTGTTGAGGAGATAGAGACAGGAGGGTTGATGGGGCTTGCTGATCAGCCAGCCTAGCTGAATTAGTAAATTCCAGGTTCAGTGAGAAATCCTGTCTCAAAAAATAAGGTGGGGAGCAATTGAGGAAGATATCCAACACCAGCTTCTAGTTTATACACATACATGCATGAGAACCCCTCCCTAACACATGTACACACACACACACACACACACACACACACACACACACACACACACCAAAAAAAGGTATCACAATGTAAAGAAGACGACGAGTCATGAAACCATTGGAGCATCTCTGTGAGTGCATAAATCAAGACAACCCTTCTCAGCTTTGTCCTGATAA